GCCCGCTGCCCGGGGCACAGGAATGGCTCGAGCCGGCCCTGCATCTGACCCAGTTCTGATGTTTTTATGTTGATGTGCGTGGCCCTAGAAGCACTTTTTACATACAGCATTCGCGTGACTGAGCTGGGACTGACCCTGCTAGGTAGCCAGGCAAAGTGGCAGCTTTACTACTTCTGTCCTGAAAACAAGCGATCACACGTAACGCTGCAAGGTTCTGCCAAACCCATTCATATTCCACGGCAGAACATGGCCGGCCTTCGCATCAGGCTGCTAAACTTTCACCCTCCAAAGTGTAACAAAGTGACAGCCAATTAAGCTAGAGAGAGTTTCTGAAGATATGTTGAAACTGCCCTGCTAATTATTATTAGATTTTATGTCATATATTAGCCTGCACTTAGATAGGCACCTTTCAGCTGAAGATTCAAATGCTATAAAGAGATTAATTAAATGAGAAAATGCGTTTAGTGTAGCAGAGCATGCTTCTATATCACTCCTGCAGCAGGAGGAGGGCAAATTGTAGGTAGCGCTTACACTGTTTTAATCCCACTCCTGACACCATATTAGGAGCTCCATGTAATGATGACACCATTTGCAGGACACAAGAACAAGTTTGAGTGGTACTACAAAGCACAGGAGTTATGCTACGTGTTCTTCAGCATCATTACACCCTGTCTATTAAATATTTACTGCTTCTCCTCCTCCCAGGGGGCTCTTGCACTTTTGGGGAGATTACCTGCCTCAGAGGCTATCAGCTGCCCTCAATTCAGACATCAGCTTGCTGTTTGTTAAGCTACTCTCATGATTGGCCAACATAGGAAAAAGAGGGGAAACCAAACTTCACAGTCTCTGTGGCTACTTCAAATGGTACAGAGTAGGACAGACCCTTGCACCAAAGCCAGTCCTTTTCTAGTACTGAAATGGGGAATTAATCGGGGGAGGGAAGGGGGAGGCAACCCAGGCCTGCCCTCTGGGTTCTAGCCCAGCGGTCCTGTGATAGCAGCTGTCTGTAATGTCTCTGGTAACAGCTGCACGACAGCTACAAAACCCTGGGATACTTCTCCACAGCCTTCTCCAGCACCTCCTTTACCGGAGGGTCTTCCCCCTGGTACCTGCTTTCGCTTTCTCCTCTCAGATTCTCCACAGCATCTCTCCTCCTGCACACTGAGCAAACTGAAGAGGAGTTCTTTTTAACCAGCCGCAACTGGTTCTTAATTGGCCCCAGGTGTTCTGACTAGTCTGACTCAATTGATTCTTGAAACCTCCTAATTGGCTCCAGGTGCTTAATTGCCCTGATTGATTCTGGCAAGTTCCTGCTGGTTCTAGATCACCCTTGTTAGTCTCTGGGAACAGCAACTTACTGAATCTAGGGCTAATATATGTCCCTCTGACCACTCTCCTATACCTCTTTGGCCTGACCCTGTCATATTACATATAACACAGAGAATAATGTTACCATTATTCACACTGCAATGTCAAGCACTCAAAAGATAGGAAACACCAGAGTTAAGGGTGCCTGTAGATATGCACAGCTGCCTTGTGCATATGCATTAGTCCCTCAGCAGAAAGGGCACATGCAGACTCCGGGCAGTGCTAGGAGATAAGAAAGACTCAAACATGCTCCGTGTGGACAGAATCTTCAAAGACTGTAGCTGATAACATCGAAGAAGTCTCTACTGACCTGGGATAAACTGAGATTTTTTTCAGCAGCTTCTAACTTTGCCAAACGGGGGCAGATTTACACAACGAGAGCAAAAGGCCAAACCCTGGCCACATTTCAAGTCCTTGCTCCAAAGCACTTGGGCACTAGAGCATTTCAAAGAAAAGATCTGGAGAATTTTTTCTAACGGGCGTGAGACAACCCATTTTTTCCTTCCCTTGTTCTCAGAAAGAGCCAAACTGGTTTGATCCAAATTTCCCAGGCCTGCTGAGCTTGAGGCAAGCACTTGGTATGGAAAATTTCAGCCCAGAAAGTTCAAGTTTCCTGGAGTGTATGGCGACAAGGGGCCGCCAGATGAGCTAGTTTTACAAAGTGGTACGCGACGGAAAAGGGGTCTGATAACAGAAAGCCTTGGAAATCTTGATCACAGGCCGTTCTAGCGCACTGGCCAATCACGCACAGCGTTCTACCTGTACCTCGCAGCTACGGCCCCTCCGATAACACATGGCGAGGAGGCCCTTGTTTTTTTCAATACCTGAAACTCTGAGGAAACCACCCGGGACTCAGTTTCCCTCCTTCAGGGGGCTGAAGGGCTGATTTGAGCGACACGTTGCCAAAGGTCGGACACTGAGCCTGAGAAGCCCCAAAGGCCTTTTTCCATTGCAGTTCCCTCACACACGACAGAGGCCGTTTGGTGGGGGCAGGGGAGGGAAGGACCAGGCAGGGGTTGGAGAAGAGGTGACGTCCACTGAGACCTATAACACCCTCATTCCTGTGACCATGGTTGGCTCTGACGCCTTGAGTTTTACATCTCCTCTGGAAGGCTGCACCTTCAGCAGCAACCCACAGCCGGGAGCAGGCGTTCTCAGGTTACCCCGCCGAATGGAGCACATCTGACAGAGGAGACCACGTCATGGACGCACCTCCCCCGTGGACCACCTCCCCCCTCCCAACCACGTAAGAGCCTTGTAATGCGTCTCGGGAAAGCAATGCCAGGGAAGCACGGCATTAAGAGCTGTCTCTGAGGCCACGTAAAGAGCTGGACTCAAGCAGGAGGGGCCAGCACCATGAGATCAGCCAGAACCTCCATGGACCATCAATGGTGTGTACCTCACCATTGGAGAACCACCCATCTCTGGTGGGAGACTGCCCTGCACGTAAGAGCCTTGTAATGCGTCTCGGGAAAGCAATGCCAGGGAAGCACGGCATTAAGAGCTGTCTCTGAGGCCACGTAAAGAGCTGGACTCAAGCAGGAGGGGCCAGCACCATGAGATCAGCCAGAACCTCCATGGACCATCAATGGTGTGTACCTCACCATTGGAGAACCACCCATCTCTGGTGGGAGACTGCCCTGCACGTTGGCTCGGGTATTCCATCAGCACCGACTCAGACAGAAGAGCGCCACCTAGAGGCTGGGCTCACCCCGCATCAGCCAGCGCAAGGAAGCATCCGATGGACCAGCAACC